TCTGAGAGAATGCATCTTTGGCATGAAACCGGCCAGGTGAGCGACCTGCAAGACAGGTTATCTGGTCATCCAACGAGTTATACCTTGCAGGGATCAACACCGTAGGTCATCATCTGTCCGTCTGCCACCACTTCTTTATCACCCCTCCATCATGATGGCGGGTGCAGGGTTAGCAGGGGTGGTTTTAATCCCCTCTATCAGTGATTTCAAACCCCTCTATCAGTGATCTCAATCCCCCCCAGGGTTAGCAGGGGTGGTTTTAATCCCCTCTATCAGTGATTTCAAACCCCTCTATCAGTGATTTCAATCCCCCCCAAAACGACTACACCACCCATCCATCATCCCCCTACTCCATCATCCCTAGTAATGGCCGGGATGCTGTATGTGGTCTCGATCTGTATGTGGTCTCGATCTGTATGTGGTCTCGATCCCGTCCAATCCTCCCGCACCCACCTACAGGTGCTGATCCTGCCGAAAAGTCTTAACAAAGGTGCAAAATGAGAATGAATGAATCTTCCGCTAGAACATGGAAAGATACACCGCCACATTTTGTCTTTGTGGTGCATGTGGTTAGTAGTGAAGCGAGGTCCAAACTCTGCGGAAGCGACCAGTCGATGCAGATTATTTTATTTTATTTTAGTTTTAGTCGATGCAGAATTGAAAACAAACTCATCCAGTGAAGGCAGAGTAACAAAAAAAAAAAAAAAAAGGGCGAATGTTTCCTCCGGTTCTTTTCTTTTTTTTTTGCCTGAAACTGTCACAGTGTTCTTTTTTTTTTTTTTCCCTTACTTGATAAAGTAGGCCTTGGAGACCTGACTGGACTTGAATCTGGATCTCTGACATGTTCTATTCTTGCCTTGGGCACTGGGCCCTAATGAAAAGACGGTTTTTTTAAGGGGGGGAGAAGAAATAAATAACAAAAACAAAGAGGGGGAAGGGTTGGGGCGTAAGAAACGAAAGAAAAAAAGAGTTAAAAGCTGACAGCAAGCGACCAGCAAGGTTATTTGAGTTCGATTCTAAAATTTCTAACGCAGCTTGATCCTTTTCTTTTTTTTTTTCTTTTTTTTTTAATATCGTATGGTCCGATGGACCACGGATCAATCCCTACCCTATTAGACCCGCTTAATCAGAACAGGTACTACAACTGGTCTTAGTGAAAAGGCTGAGAAAGCAGTAACAGAGCAGCTCGAGCTTTTTTTTCTTTTTTTCAAATCTTTTCTTCTTCTTCTTCTTCTTCTTCTTCTTCTTCTTCTTCTTTTTTAATTTTTTTTTTTTTTTTTTTTGCTTTATTTTCAACGGTTCCTCTCGTACTGGGTTGAATTCCCATAGCGACGACGGTTCCAACAAGACCGGAAAGTCGACAATCACCAAGAAATGACAATTCCCATTGCGTAAATAGAGAGCTTGTGGGGTAGGAGGTAGGTAGGCTAGAGAGCTTGTGGGGTAGGAGGTAGGTAGCATAGAGAGCTTGTGGGGTAGGAGGTAGGTAGCCTAGATAAGGGGGCATCGCTCCACTACTCTCGAAATGTGCACTAGAACATGGAAAGATACACCACAAGGATTATTGTCTTTTGTGCATGTCGAGAGAGTAGTGGAGCGAGGCCCAACGTGACAGGGAATAAAAGGGCATAGTGCCTCGCTCCACCACGCCCATAATCACAGAAGAGGGAAAAGACAGAGATCACGAAAAAAGAACAAAGTGAGAGAGAGGAGAGAGACAGAGAGAAAGACAGAGGGGAAGGGAGGATGGATTCATGGTACTGGTCGCTGCATCCGTTGGCAGAAGGGCATCAAATCATACCAAGAAAGCTTAACAATGTAGCAGGCTCCAAAACGACTACTACCAGACCAGTACTACAGCTCCTACAAAAAGACAGATCAGGAGAAAAAACAAAAAGAGAGAGAGAGAGAGAGAGAGAGAAAGAGAGAGAAAGAGAGAGGAATTTGCTACCGTTGGGAAGAAGGGCATCGAATCGTGCCGAGAAAGCTTAACAATGTAGCAAGCTCCAAAACGGCTACTACCAGACCGGTACTACAGCTCCTAAAAAGAGACACAGATCAGGAGAAACGACAAAGAGAGAGAGAGAGAGAGAGAGAGAGAGAAAGAGAGAGAGAAAGGAGAGAGAGAGAAGGAGAGAAAGAGAGTAAGAGAGAGGGGAATCTGCTACCGTTGGGCAGAAGGGCATCAAATCGTACCGAGAAAGCTTAACTAACAATGTAGCAGGCTCCAAAGCGACTACTACCATACCAGTACTACAGCTCCTACAGAAAGAAAAATCAGCTCAATGCAGAAAACCCCATAGCAACAACGGGATTAGATCAGTTGGTGATAGGCAAGGAGTAGGAGTAGTAGTAGGAGTAGGAGTATGTGGCAATGATGAGCAACAGAAGCGAGATCAAACGCAGTGACAGCAACGACGGGTAAGGAAAAGCGATTAACTTGCACGAAGGATGGGAATCGAAGGCTCGATGCGCAATGAGAGGGGCATCAGAGGGGCCGGTGCGCAACAATGGCGGTAATCAGAGGGCCTCGTGCGCAACAAAGCGGCAGATGCGCAAGTAAGGGAGGTGATGCAAGGAAGACGCCTCTCAAGGGGGATAATGCCGATGCAGAAGACTATAGCTATAGATATTCTCATGCCATTCAATCCAAGCAGAGCAATACATACGCTATAGATAAATGTTTCTACATCTTGATTAGACTATTTTCACAATGCTTAACGACTGTTGCTCGCACAGCTCGGTTTGACTATTTTTTAAATTTAATTTCATTTTATTTTTGGAAGAATTCCAAACATATATCACCATGTTTGACTATTCTTACTTGCTATTCACGCGCAAAGAACGGCGACCAGAAACGGTGACGTCAAGGCAGAGGCGTCTTCCTTGCATCACCTCCCTTCAAAAAGGTGATATTAATACGTCCATTCATTCTTCAAAAAAAAAAAAAAAAAAAAAAAAAAAAAAAACACGTCCATTCATTCTCGATAAGCCTCTCTCCTGATAACATGGTACCCACTCGTACCCCAACAGAAGAGTCCACTGTTTCTCACATTACCCATCCGTACCGCTGCCTGGAATTCATTTTTAGAACTCGAGTTCATTTTTCGAAATAAGTATTCCAATCAAGAAGGCTATAATGCACCCGTCCTCACGGGGTGTGTCAAAAAAAAAAAAAAAAAAAAAAAAAA